TCTTCTTCCCCTTTCACCCTCTGCACCTCTGGCCTGTACCCCAGCTCTTGGATGCAAAAATAAATAAATCTTTAGAAAAAGAATATTATAAAAAAAGGAAGATCAAAGTCCCAAGTCCAATGTCCAAGATAAAGGCTGCCACTGTCAACCTCCCCACAGATCTCTCCAAATCTCTTCCAAGTGTTTCCTTTTTTGTCCACCAAATGCCTGGTACAAGTCCAAGATGGAGAAGCAAGTGTGGCTGATTCTTCCCAAGTGTCTTTGTTTCACATGCCTCCTTCAGACCTTCTCTCCAGTCTTCCTTTCCTGCACAGCATCACCCTTCCTTAGATTGCGCAAGAAACCTAGAACTTCCCCTTCATGGCTCTTACACTGTAACAGGATGAATAAGGAAGGCAAGAATATCTTTATTTTATAGATAGGAAAACTTACACTCTAAATTAGAGTTACTTAGGCTAAGTGAGACATGGAAAAATGGGATTAAAAGTCCAAGTCTTCTATTACATTTGAATGCTGTTGCACTCAGACCTCCTTTAGACTGACTGAGCAGGAGGATATAAGGAAAGAAACTGTAGATTTGGAAGTGTTTTTTTCTTCAAGTTTCCACAAAGTGGTAACTACCACCTGGTGTGAGTGTGCAGAAAAAAGGGTGGAAGACATCTGTCTGCCTGTGACCCACGGTGTTTCAATTTGATTTATTTTCCACAGACCCAATTTCTTCTTTCTTCTTTTCCTCTTTCCTGAATTGTTGTTTTGCCTGTTCCTATGTGGAAACAGTCTCATAATCCATTTCCAGGCCAAAAAATGTTTTGGTAATATTCAGAGTGAGTTAACCAAGATAAGGACTAGTGGAAGGGGTTGGATATGGTGGGGGGTACCATGTGGTCTGGTTTTAAGGGACTAATTCTGTCACCCTGAAGCTTCTCTCCCTTCTGTCCATGCCCTTCTTATGGCCCAGTTTTTTGCCCTCTCCTTAGTCAGCATTCCTCTGTAGGAGCTAAGGCCTTTGGAAATGAAGATTCTTTTCTTTCTTTCTTCTTTGAATTTTTTAAAGGTTTATTTATTTATGCATACAAGAACTGGAGTACAGGCCAGGGATGTGGAGAGGTGAGAATATTCACCAGAGCCAGAGTGGGGAGCAGATCAGGCAGATTGACTGAAATATACTGGTGAGAGGAGCAGTGGGTGAGTCAGGAGAGGTCTGCTGAGCCATGTGGGTCAGTTCCCTGAGGTGGGTATTGAACTTGTGTTGCTGTGGCTGGGGATAGCTTCACAGTCCTGCACTTCAACCTGTTGTACCACCAAGGAGGCCCCCTTTTCTTTCTTTCTTTTTTTTTTTTTAAGATTTATTTATTTATGCACACAAGAGCTGTGGTATATGCCAGAGGTGCAGAGGATGAGAGGATTCACCAGAGACAGAGCAGAACAGGCATATTGACTGAAATGCACTGCTGAGGGGAGCAGTGGGGCAGACAGGAGAGGTCTGACGTGCCATGTGGATCAGCTGTCTGGTTGGGGATTGAGCTCATGCCACAGTGGCTGGTGATAGCTTGATAGTGGTGAGACTCTAATCCCTACATTACCAAGGAGACCCCATAAGGGACTTGTTTTAGTTTTATTTCATCTTAATTTTATTAAGTCTAATAGTCAAATGTGGGCAGTGGCTACTATTTTGAGAATAGCAATGTTGGATCTAAATCTGAGAAATTGTGCAGTGTTTAGTAGGGACATATTTGCAGTAGCACCTATTTGTGGTCATTTAAGAAAAGAAATTTTAATTTATATTTTCTTTCAATTTGTGTGTATTACTTTTTTCAAATGGTCACTTACTTGCAAGGAATCAACTTGCAAGTTAAAAATCATAACTTTTAGGTATTCCTTTTCACATAGGGGTGCTGTGCAAAAAGTGTTAAGATACTAAATACATTATAAGCTGAGGAATTGGAAACCTCTAGAATGGGGTACTATAAACAGATCAAAATAGTTATAAACGAATACAGTATAGTGGCTTGCCTTGAAGTGGTCTAAAGAGAAATAATAGACATTTAACATTCATTTCATGTATTTGACCATTAAATATCTGCTATATACCAGTGTTCACCCTGCAGCAGACATGCAATACACACATACACAAAACCTTTCAGGAATCAAATATTAATAGATATTTCCTTGGGTTGATTTTTACTTATGACTAATCTTATGACTAAACTTATCCACCACTTAACACCCTTAAAATCATGCTTTCAATCTTTCAATTGCTCATTGCTAAGGTGAAATTTTATTTTTAGATGGCTCATTTGTAACCTGTAAAAAAAAATTACTGGATGGGCCCTCCCTGGTGGCTCAG